ATGTCTAAAATGTGAGTCACTTATTGCTTTACTGAATTTGTATAAAATTATTATTAAATGTGTTCATGCTGATATCTGCAGAAAAATAGTACTCTTTGTGTGATATAGATTAAGTTAACTATATTAAATTATATAAATATAAAAAGCATACAGAAGCATTTTTGCCGTCTACAATTTAGAATGCCTGGAATTTTGAGTTTTAATAGACAGATAAATCAATGTGCGTGCACTCTTTGGTGATATAACATACTTGATAATGTCAGATCGCACATCATTACAACAACACTTACCGTATTATCGCAGATGATGCTGTATCGCACACTCGACTTGAGTGGAAAATGACTCATCCGCGATTGTACGCGCTCTTGTTTGCACATGATGTAATGTGATGTTGCACATGATCTAATGTATAGCCTGAATGCACTGTAAGTCGCAGAAGGACACTTCAAGAAACAGTTGTTTGGTCCCCTACACCATTCAACCCTTCGAAGCTCTCACTCTGGAGGGTAAACCCTTTGATGGGATTAGGGCATAGGGATGAGCCCTTCCGAATAAAACGCAGGGTGTATCTCCAGCAGCTACAGCAAGAAAACAGTAATGGCGGACTGCTGCTTCTCACTCAGGGCGGTGTCTATGCTAATAGGGTGGAGATCATCACAAATGGGTGGGACTTTTTCCCTACGATGACATCAACGTAGGGAGAAATCTGGAACTGCTCGTTTGGAGAGACTGTTTATGGATTATTGGGATTATAAAAAAAAATGAGTGGGTGGATTTTTGCCATTATAGGCTGGTTGTTTTTGCACACTGCGGCCACACAACTGTGTTCAAACACCTTATAAAAGGGATTTTTGCATAATACGTCACCTTTAACTGCTAGATCTGCTTACTTTTCATCTCTTTTAGAAGAAAACAAATATAACCCCTGGTATTTATTCAGTAAAGTGGCTAAATTAATGAAAAATTAAGCATCAACAGGCACTAACATTTCCTAACAGCACAGCAGTAATGACTTTATGAACGTCTTTACTTCCAAGATCGATACTATTAGTGATAAAAAAAATAACCATGCAGCTGTGAGCTACAATATCGCATCAGATGCACTATAAATCCCCTGAAGAAGAATTCCACTCATTCTCTGCTATAGGAGGGGAAGAATTGGATAAACTCATTTAAATCATCTAAACCAACAACATACCATCTAAGCTACTAAAAGAGGTGCTTCCAGAAGTCATAGATTCTCTTATGAATATTGATTCGTCATTGTCATTAAGATATGTCCCAAAAACTTTCAAACTTTTTTATTTCTTTTATTTTGGCTGAAAACCACAGGGAAACTTCTCTTTTGAAATGCTTATCTTTTGTTGACAGATTTATAAACCGTTCGATTTACAAACTTGGGAAGATGTTTGGCTCATGTTGCTTTTTTCAAATGGACGTTACAAGCGACTCAAACTCACAGCGCTTGCAGAGATTCATGTGGAGTTCATGTGGAGCAGCATGTACTGAGTGGTTTACATGAAAAGGTCGCAATGCAGTGCATCAGATTACATTTATTATAAAAATACAATACAGTCTTTGCGTTTTGATAATCTTGATAAACCATATTATTTTCTCAGGCATTGCTAGAATTAAGAAACAAAGTTACTGGCCAACTGGTGACTAACACTTTCATATACTCGCCAATGCCAATTTTTACACTCATTTGGCACTTGATGCTACCATCTGCACAAGTGTCCTCCCTAGGGCTGGGCGATATGGCCAAATAATTATCACGATAATGTTTTTTCATATCAGTCTATATCGATAATTATAACGCTAAATGTAAAAAAAAAAAATATTTCAAGTTTAAAGGCAGATTTTTGCTCCAGTGTGAAAGTTGTAAAAACCAGACAGTTACTTGTAGTTTTAAACCAGAGGTCCCCAACCACCGGGTCGCGACCCACTACCGGGCCGTGGAAGAATTGCTACCGGGTCGCAAGAACGTTCTGGGAAAAATGTGTATAGATTTGACACTCTATTTATTTGTTAATGATTGTTCTAATTATTCTGTATTTTCTTTGTATGCGATTGATATGGAGCAGCAATTAGACAATTTCACGTTAAATAAGTAAATGAAAGATTGCTCTGATCTGTCACATATTAGGAGTTAAATGGATCGCAGTTGATCCGTAATAGGTATGGATGAGACCCTACCGTTCGGCACGCACGTGATTCGCAGATTAATTTGCCAATTTACACGTACAAGCAATTTTAAACCACAAGAAGAAGAAACGAAAGAGAGCTCAATTCATTACTCACGTGCTGTGCTCGCACACAATCAAAGCACGCACAAGCATAGAGACATGTTTCAGACAGTGCGGAAATTAGAGCCCGACCGATATATCGTTTTGCCGATATTATCGGCCGATATGAGCCTGTCGCCGATATATCGG